TCATCCCTCCAATCTTGTGCTTCTGTTCATAGACTACAACTTTGTGACCTTTGCGGCGCAAGAAATAGGCCGCAGCTAACCCAGCAGGACCGGATCCAACAACAGCTACTTTCTTTCCAGTGTTGGGTAAACAGGTGATGGGGACATCCTCTTCATTACAATAGGAAGATACAGCTCTCTTCAGTTCCATAATTTGAAGGCCACCAGATCGTCGTGACTTGACACACTTGTCCTCACAGTAATGAGTGCAGACTCTCCCACAAATATTAACCAATGGCATCTCATCTAAAATGATCTGCATGGCTTCATTGTATTGCTGAGTCTTCAAGTGGGAGATGAACTGTGGGATGTTGATGTGTGCGGGACATACAGGAACACACATCGGTTTCTTGCAACCAAGGCAGCGAGACGCTTCCTCTACAGTCTCTTCTTTGGAAAAGCCCAAGACAACTTCTTTCCAGTCGTGGATACGTTCTTCAGCATTTCTAATGGGGACGGGGGTCTTTGTGAAATTAGCAGCCATAACCCTGGAATTTAATTAATTGATCTAGATATGCCGTTTATATTAGCATGTCCAATTTTTTAATGAGGGGTGACTTATCAAACACTTTAATGGAAATCAACGGGAATTCAGTGGTTTGGTGAGTGATTTGGTATGTTGAAAATCGGTGGGAATGGATGGGATGTGTTGAAAAAAGAGGAAATAAAGCTCTGTGCACATTTTGTGGAAGTTCCTATTTTCGTCGAAAAGGTGGGGTTTCAATTGAACATCCACTTTATTATAAAAAGAACCGAATCGAAGAAAGCATTATTTCTTCAATGGTTTGTGTTTCATGAATATTCGGTTATAATAAAGCATTAAATATCTAACAAATGGGATTAAAAGAAAGATGGCTGTTATTGCTGTTAACGTTTTGGTTTTGTGTATAAGTAATTGGTGGAGTTCTATTTATGGAATAAACCAATTGAATGATATAAATTAATATTATGATAGTATTTGTTAAATATAGATAGGTTTTAATTATCGAAAACTGAAAATGTTTTGTTAAGTGTTTTTATTTTTGTGTCACTTGTATTTTGTTTGAATGTAGATTCATTTTTCTAAATATTTTTTTTTTAATTATCTAACTGTATTAAAATATACTATAATATATAGATTTATATTGACTTATATTATAGTAAAATTAGTTAA